GCCTCACCAGAGCAGTTTGACTTGCTAAGGGGCCCTGTGCGTTTCGGCATTTCACTGCTGTGGTTTGCAATGTCATTTTTTTCCCTCATTTTGGAGATTATCAGCGAAGATAAACATTTCACAACAGATTCCTCCATGAGCGCTACCTGCGGTAACTAATTTCCTGTGGTGTATTTCTGTCACTGCTTTGCAGACAGTAAATACAGTTGACAGTTTGACTACCAGAAACAAGTGAGGGGGAAATAAAGCCCAATGAAAGGATAATGGATCTTTGGATTCTTGCAAGTACGTGTGTGGGTGTTGCAGATTTTGCTCAAGCATGTAGACAGGTGGGGGGGTGGATTACAAGATGCTATTTTCAGAAAATAGGACAATCTGCCAAAACAGCTTTTTTTGTTTGCCTGTTTTCTCCCATGTCCTAGTAGCGGAATGAAGAAGCAGTAAAACCCCATTGAGAATTTTTGGAGGCGGAACTTTATCTGTTATTTATTAATCCAGGCACTGATCAAAGCGCAGGAGAGGAAATCTGTGCCGGTTCATCAATAATACTTGAGCACATACTTGCCTTTAATTGCATGTTCTGTTGGTTTCAAATCTAAGCCCTGCTCAAGGGGGAGGTTTTGTGAGTCAGACAAGATTAGATCACTTGGCACAGACTCTCCTGCTTGGGCTCTGCTGTGTCTGCTGGTAGAGTGGGACATGGGACAGGATGGGACTTGGAGGTAGTTGGCTCAAGGATCATCAGGTGGATTAGAAAGAAAAGAGGGGCTGTAATTAAAAGCAAACCATGGCTTGAATATTGTACTAAGTTCAGGAAGAAAAGGCAACTGCACATTTACATGGAGAGAGCACAGCTTCTGCTCCCCCACGCACATGTAACAGCTGTAGCTTTGTTCAGCATGTCTGGCTTCATGTATTGTTTTCAGAGCAGGGGTAATTAGTGTCTGAAAACGTAACTGCTCTTTGCTATTGTGGAACAATGTAAAAATCCTTTTTTTCCACTGTAAAACATTCCTGCCCTCTTCTGATCTTGTCAAGTTAGACAATATAGCTGTCTTGTCATCATATTTCCCACGGCAACAGAAAGCTTGCCAAATGGTAGAAGAAACCTCAGAAGCTTCTGAGTAATTAATTACTGTGACTTCATCAGTGAAACTTGACTGCCTTTGGTGGACTTGCTTCAGATTCTGGTGAGTTTGAGGGAATTCAGACCCTGGATGGCTCAGCAACCATGGCTGTTGTTAGCAAAGGGGATGGTGTCGTAGCGATGAGCAGCGAGGCTGACCTTAGTGCTGCTCTGCTGAGTGTGGGGTTCAAGGTCACATTCCTGAGTCATCAGCTTTATTTCTGAATTAGTAACAATACTCTCTGCAATACAAGGCAAAAAGCACTGTCCAGCTCATTTTTGGAGGAACTTAGGGAGAAGAGATTTTTCATTACTTTTTTTCCCTAATTAGGTAAATTTATTACCAAACTATTCCTTATTTGCACTGTCCGTCAATCAGTGAAAATCACTTCTGCTAATGCAGCCCAACAGTATTACTCAGATGTTCACAAAGTACATAGACTGTGGTTGCAAAGAGTCACTCTTGGGGCTCCTGATTTTGTTTAGGAAATGGAGAGGCAAAGGTGAAAGGCAGGGGTGGTGCTGGAGATAAGCGAAGCAGCAGAAGGAAGACACTGGCCAAGGATGACTTGAAGGAAAAGGTGAGGTGTAAAGAAAAAGAGATAAGAGAAAATGAAAGAATAAGTCACAAGGAAGTAGAAGGTGGAACAGGTAGAATTGCATCAAAAGTGGGAGGCAGAGGTAGAAGCACTTAATTTTTTGTGAGTCATCACCAAGCCATCCTGCCCCCAGGAAGGCTGACTTAGCAACACCTGTGGAAAAATCAGAGCTTTCCCTCTGAGATGCCATTCCAGATCAAAGAGGTTTCGATTAGTAAAACTGGATTTTCTGTCACTGATCTTCCCCTGCTTTAAAGAAACTTTTCAAATGCCTCTTGTGAAAGCAGCATCCACCCTAACCACCCCAGGGCTTGGCTCACTCACCTCTCTTCCCTGTCTGTCTCCTCTTCCCAGGTCTGACTCATGGTCTATTTTGGGGCCCTTTGCCCAACCTAGATCTCCGTTGTTTGGGCAGAGGTGAAATGGCCACAAGAGGCACTAATTGCTGCACATCCTCTTAGAGGCTAGGGAAATCTAAAAAGAAAAGCAAGTGAATAAAAATAACTTGATGGAAGAAGGCTTGTGCGATCTGGAATCCCTGACAGATGCTTGGCCACAAAAGCCCTGCTGGGAAGATACTAGATGTTAATATAAAATATGAACATTTTCTCTGGCTTATCATGATTCAGAACTAAAGTACAGTCAGGAAAACAGGGAATAAAAAAAGAAAGTGGTGTCAGTTACTTTGCCATGTTTCTGAAAGGCTGGAGGGCTGTTGGTGATTAGGCTGGATGGGGCTGTGGTGTCTGAGGCCGGTCAGTGATGCAGGGGTTGGGCAGCAACTCCTGGTTTAAATCTTGATAGAAACATTCCTTAAGTTATTTCATCTTTGGTACGTGCAGGAGTTTGAACTGCTACCTGCAACACCATGCGTTGCCTGGTGTGCTATTTCAGGACTCGAGGGGAGAAAAACCTAACCACCCTAAAGGTGTGTTTTACACAATAAAATGCATGTAGAGTTGCCTTGTTCTTTTTTTTTTTCCCCCAGCACAATTGGATGTATTTAATGTAGCTCAGCTCAGTTCCACAGTGCTTGTGAAAGCAATGTGAGGGTCAGAGCAATTCTCTAAAGCCTGTTTGCAGTGTGAGGTGGTAACACAAAACCATGGAGCTCCCGTCATCGCAGCGAAGCCTAGCTTTGCCATGAGAGGGGCTGGAGCCTTCGTGCTGTGCTCAGCTGGAAAAGCAAATACCTCACCCCGCAGCGGGGCCGTCAGTCAGCGTGGTACCTGAGCGTGGCCATGCAGATGCAGCAAATGTGGTTAAATATGTAAGAACCAGAAAATGCTACTTAAGCATTTGGTGGCTTGAGAGGGGGGGAAAAAGAAATAAGCAATACCCCCCACACACCTTGAACACCTTTGTGTTGAGCTGCAAAGTGTGGGCTGCTAGGGAGACCCTGGGTCTCCGGGTGGGTGGGAGCCCGGGGTGGTCCCCAGCCCTGGCTCTGTGCACTGTCGCATGTGTCCCGTGGGCCGGGTGGAAGGTGAAACCTGGCTTGAACCCAGCCTCGGGTTCTGGAGAGGAGACCTGAAGAGGACCAGCTCTGGCTGCACAGCATTGCATTCCCCTGTGGAAGGAGGGACGGGGCCAAGCTTCCTACTGATCCAAAGCCCCACAGGTGCTGCTGCTCTTTCCAAGGGGTTCTGAGCCAGGTTCCCAGTTTCATTCTGTGTCAATATAGCACCCAAGCAGCTGAGCATTGGGAAAGCAGAGAAAGCTTTCTTTTCAGACCATGCAAATCATCCATTTCAAATCTTTCTGTAATCCTGGTGGTGGGTTAAAACAAAACCGCTTTCTCTCCAGGCTGCAAAATTGGCGTGAGGCACTAGAAAATCTTCCTTTCCCCTTTTTTCCCCTCCCTTTAGGAAAGGACAATAAGCCCTGACGAAAAGCGTGTGTGCACTGATGCCAGGAAGCTTTGAAACCAAGTCAGGAAACTGTCTGATCATGAGCGTTAGAGTCTCTCTCATGTGTTCAGTTTTCGTCAGACTTTGCTGGGTTCGCGTAGGGGAGGCGAGTCATCCGCAGCTCATCTCTGCAATCTAGGCAGATGCCTTCCTTGTTTTCATCCCACCACTACTATAGCCTGAAAAGAAAATGCCTGAGGCAAATAACCGGTGTTATTCATCAACTGCTGATGAAAAGGTTCTGCCTACGCGATTGGGTACATTTAGTCTGGAGCAGAAAATGCAAGAAGTCATGCAGTCCTCCGATGTCCATTAATCCATCTTCTGTGATTTCTACTGTGGGTACTTTGTTTTCCTCTGGGGACCTAACTTTTTATTTAGTCATATATTCATGGCTGCTGCTGCCGTTGGCTTGCTGTTGCACACATTAATTGCCCTTCGGCTGAGGAATGTCTCCCAGAAGGCCTCATCTTTTCTGCGCACCAGATCATAACTTCTTTAATTGCTGCTGTTAACTTGCTGCTGGCTTTGTCCCCTCCACTCAGACCCGTGCAGAGCAGAACAGCGTGATCCCTCATCGGGCCCCACGTCGTCCCCACTGATGCTAATTGGACCATGCAACAGGACCTGCCAAAATACCCCTGCCAAGGATCCCCTTTCCCTTTCTGAATCGGAAATTAAAGTTATTACAGCAAAAAAGGGGCTGACAGGAGCTGCCAGACAGAATCACAAATCCATTAGCTCGGTCGCTGGTTGCAAACAGTGCATGAGTACAAGGTTAGGGCTTTGATTGCTTAAATCGGGGCATGCAGACCCTTTCTTTGACCCAGGTTGTGTATTTCTGCTGCAGCTTGGTTTTAAAAGCTTTCGATGTAGAAGCACTATGTGGCTAACAGCCCCAGGTAGCTATGCGCTAGGAAATTTTACACAACAAAGTCGTGAACCAAGCACAGGCATCTTGTGGTCTTAGTATAGGGGATAGGACCTGTTTTCTGCCACCTTGACTGTAAGAATTCGAGAATCAAATTGTTTCTCATATCATCTTTCAGTTGTTGCCATGGCAAAGCCCTAGAGAGGAAGGGGGTTTGTACCAAACCATTGGAACATCAACTTTTCTTTGATTGATTAAAAGATGTGTTCAGGTCTTCAGTCTCACCTAGACACACTCGTGGAAGTAACCTCACATGTACGAGCAGCTCTGAAGAGAACAGGCTGCAAGACTACTTATAGGGTCAGTTATTCAATCAGGAGATCAAGCGCAACAGGAATGAGATAGGGAGACAGAACAAATGTATTTATATCTTTATTCAGGTAACAGTTTCCTTTTTCTTTGCTTTACCTGCTGTTCTTTGGGATATTTTCCAGGTTGCATCAAGTGAATTTCGATGCTCCCACTTGTGAAGGCAAGCGCCGAGAAAAGCTCTCCTTGATAGGGGACTTCTCCTCTTCAGCAGAGTTCTTCGTCACCATTGCAGTCTTCGCCTTCCTCTACTCGCTGGCTGCCACCGTGGTTTATATCTTCTTCCAGAACAAGTACCGTGAAAACAACAGAGGGCCTCTCATTGTAAGTGTATATTTGCAGCGTTCTCAGACATAGGTCTTAACCTCTTACTTTTTTGGTGGCTGAGGCTGTGGTGTGATCTGGTCTGGGAGATCTAAGTGGCCCAATACCCAAAGCATCTCTGCATTCACCTGGGTTTTTCTGGTCTTAAAGATTTAACATCAAGGGTAACAGATACTATATGCAAGTGGAGCTTAGTCCTAATCTTGTGGGATTCCCCACTTCTCTCCCGCTGCCTGCAGTGATGATGTTCACACAAACAATGAACACATTGCAGGACTGGGGTCCAAGTCATACATCTGTGGCAGCAAAGCTTCATCAGTGGTGGAAAAAAGGGAAGAGGAGATCTTAGGCATCATCCTAACAGATAAATGGAACCATGTTCCTGACCAAAGACTAGCCAGGAAGATTTCTTATTGCTTATTATTGCACAGTTCAGCCAAATTATTTTGCTTTGGAGAATTACGTGGCTGGTTTTCCAGTATTCCCCTCAGCTCCCAGCACATTTGTGTCTCTATAAGGCTCCTCACCTTCCAGGTATCATTCAATGCACCCATCAAGCTGTGGCCATTCGTGCCTTGATTTTTGTTTTTACTGATTCCCAAAGGTTTGTGATAAAAATCAAGTGTTGCTATGCATTTCTTTTCTTATAAATCAAGACTGTGAAGCCAGGGAGAGCTATTTTATTCTAGGTATCCATTACCTGTTAGTGATACACCCCTTGGTCTTGCTAGGCAGCTGTGTGTCATCCTCCCCTGCGCTGAATTTGGGTCAGGTCTCTGCATTTGCAGGCTGTGAGGTTGTCTCACACTCTCCCTCCCATGAGCAACCCTCTCCTCTGAAAGGGTAAGGTTGCACTAAGGTAGAGGAAATATTTCTCTGAAATCCTGAAGAGAGCAATTCAAAGGGAAAGTGGGGGGAGTTTAGTGAAGACAGATGTAAGGAAAGAGTTAATTCTGGATTTCAGAAAAACCTGATGTTTATGGCTGACAGAAACCAGATATTTGGCTGAGACTTGTGCCTTAAGTGACTGAAAGCCACCAATAAATAGCATCAGAAAAATACAACAGAAAGGAAAATAAATCACCAGCACAGAAAGGTGGTACCTGTTAAAGGAAATAACTACAGTAGCAGTCACCAGAAGATTAAACTGTAGGAAGGTAGTCTTAGCATCACCAGGTTTTGAGGGAAAGATTTTCCTGCTGCAAGAAGATGTGAGTTGTTTTAAGTTTGCATCATTCAAAACCGATGAATTGTTACAGAAGGAAAAATTCTCATTCCCCATCAAAGGAAATGAATCCTCTTCCTTTGGGGGCTGTTGAGACCTTTCCTCTCTCCCTAGAAAATGGTGAGGAAAGGAGGGGAAATCTTCACCGAGGGGAGGTAGAACAGGCAAGATAAAGGGGTCCCTGCAGAAACAGCAAATAAATAAAGTGCCTTGCTTCTGCTTGATTCAGCTGATATCAAGTAATATCTCATTTCAAACTGTCTCATCAAAGAATTAGTTGCAGAGATCTGCCACTTTAACTTTCTTGTGGAAAATAATTATTTCTTCTGACCCTCCACATTATCCTGTGTAGCAGTAGAAAAAGGAAAGAGGAAAAAATCACTAATCTGTCAGATTATGATGTAGCTGTTTGCCATTGTCCAGGACTTTCTCCATAAAGCTGCTGCAGTCCTGTTTGTCACAGGATGCACGGCACAATCCGCTACAGCATTAATGTGCCACTGATTTAATTTGTTCTATGTAACGGATTGTAATTGAATCTACATGTTAAATTTAACCGGTGTCTGTTACCAAAGCCTCTGTAATTTCCCAGTCTTTAAACCAAGCCTAAATGACCTTATTTGTTCAGAATATAAAGATGCTTCTGAGTTTGTCCTACAGCAGAAGCAGCTCCTGCTGGTGAGTGGTGTTGAATGTGGCTGAGGGTTATGCTCAGCTTATGCCTGTCAGGAAGGGGGGTCCCCATCTGCCCCAGCCACATGCTTCAGCATCTCCTCTTCACTGCCAGCTCTGTTGTGTTTTTTTAGAAAAAAGACCCTTTTTCACCTGGCCCGCATCCTTACTGGTCTCCCCTGAGGCTGCCCAGTGCAATGATTGCAGCACCACAGCCTGACTGGGTCAGGGCGAGTCCTACTGTGCCATGGAGTTGTAGAGAAAAGGCAGAGCCCCAGGCAGAGGAAAAGCAAGCATCTGTAGCCAGGAGGAATTCGAGGGTCAAGGGGAAATTCAGAGTGAAAAGCAGCTTCCCACAGCTGCAGGGCTCACCTAGGGGATGTAACACCTTGTGCAAAGGAGGCGGGCGATGCATCCTCCAGCTCCAGGCAGATGCTGCACTGAACTGACGTACCCAGCAAGATCACACATAGATCAGATCAGATGTGTGAGTATGTCTCATCCCTGAGATTGTTCATCCCGAAGAAAAGTGCTGCAGAAATCTTGAGGTGCTTTGTGCGGGCCTGAGTCCAGGCAGCAGCCCCCAGCACGTGTCGGTGCAGGAGACAGGGCAGCCCTCGCTGCTCCTTTGTCACCAGGCGGGATCCATGTGTCGGGCACCGGTTCCAGACTACCAGTTTTTTACCTCCTAGCGAAGAGTTAGAAGATGATAGTTTCATCTGTCCTTGCTTCTGCTGCAGTGCCTGATCACAATTTCATATTTAAAACCCTTCCCATCTTAAGCCTTGTACTTCCTCTTGGCTTGATATTTGCTCAGTCTGGGGTGACATCTGCCTTTAAGTGGCACGCTCTCAGAGCTGGCTGCCTTTCCTCCTGACAAATTTTCAGGATTTGAAAAATGAGTGTGACAGGAGAAGTGGAGAGAGGAGGGGAAAAAAAAAAAGACGACTTTCACTTGAAATTTTAAAATTTATTTTTTTTTCAAAAAACCCTTGCACAGACAGTCAGAGCACTATGAATACATTACCAACTTGCAGCAGCCTGACTGGATGCAGAATATATGATTATAAAGAATTTAATGACTGCTAAGTCACGTGAAACTTGCGGAGAAAATTTCAGTCGCAGCTATTTCACGTTTACCTTGTTTATACAGATATAGGGAAACCCGACTGCATGTGCTGAGAGCTCGGCAAACCATCACTTTAACTGTGGAAAAATATTTTAACGTTCAGTGTGAAGTGAGACATCATGGAAAGGAAATATTTCCAGTAGGAGAAGCTTCTTTAACTCCTTCCACAGCTGTTTGAACGGCACCGGCATGTTTTATTCGCTGTGCAGTGAGCCGTGTCTGTTGCTAACGTTGCCTGTCAGGTTTTGGGGATAAAAATCTTCCTTTTGGTCACACAGGGCCCTGGCTGTGTTACTCCTCTGCGGTGGAGGTGGGAGTCTCCCCTTCCCACAGGCCTGGCAGCCCTGAGCCCTTGCCACGTGTGCCCTCCGCTCGTCTCACTGGCTCCACGGATTGTTGGGGGGGGGGTCATACTAAATAGATTAACCTCAGAGATGACCTTGGGTTCCCAATTCCTAAAGGAACGAGGAGCAATTTACCTGGGATTATATACCTAATAGATATGTGCCGTGTGTTTCTGAGCTCTGCAAACCTCAGCTGTGATTTTAATTTCGTTGCAGACTCCTGCCCCACGCACAGCGAGGAGCCGGGGGCTCGCCTTGGTGGTTACAAGTGCAAGCCGGTTTCTCAGATGACTGATTAGTGCTTAAGAGCCTGAAATATTTTAAAGAAAATAATTGGAGCTGGTGACTTAGATTTTTAATGAATGCAACGTACGAAATCTCACCAGTTTTCAGCGTATCTGCATCTCTCAAACCAACCTAAGCTGGTTTCCACTCACGTAACACCGCACACGCCCTGGGGAGGCATTGCTGATTTGCAATGAGAGCAGAGATGAGCTGCGCCCTGGGACTCCCTAGCACCTCTGTCTCAGTGCCCTGCTTCAGATCTGTACGCTTGCAGCTGCTTGCAAGCAGAGAGTAACAGTCCTGACGTGAAGTTTTAGAGGATCAGGGGTAGATGCTTCCATATATCTCTGGAGTAGAAAAATAAATGAAAAAATAGTCATGGTCAAGGTGTGTCAGTATCCAACACTCAGACTTCTTTTTCCATAGTTTCTGCATCCCGTATGTACTCCACTTAGAACCCACACTCTGACAACTCTCTGTGCCTTCAGGTTTGTCTTTGGGAGTTTATGGATTGGCCATGAAAAAACACATGCATTCATGTATAAACGTAAATCACTTTATTAGTATTCCAATCAATTAATATAAAAGTATAAAATTATTTAGACAAGTGACTGACATAGCCCTGAAAAGAGGTATTTCATTTTTATAACAACTTTATAATCTCGTTCTTACACTGCATAAAGATGCTTACGTGTAAGACGGGATCATACCTTCACATCTGGGGTCCTGCAAATAAACACGCTAAGCAGAAAGGCACTTGGTTCTTTACATATGTTGTGGGCCAAGTGAGTTAAGTGCACTCCTGATCTGCCCTTTGGACATGTCTTTGATTAAACATGTTTTATTTCCTCCCCTTTGAGCTTTCTAGAAAATAGATAGGAAAAGAATAAAGAGCCATGCGTGAAAACAAAGACCGAATCCTTTGCAGTTAAAAAATGAAATTATGAATAACCTGAATAATTCTTTGCCTTTCAAAGAGCTGTTTCAGCCTGCTGTGGTCACTTCCTTTTTGAAACACAAGCCAAGGTGATCTTGCTGTACACGCTGGTGCCTCCCAAAGGGCTCTGCACGTCCCGGCCAGAAGCAGGCTTGCAAGGCCATACACCATCGCAAGAAGCGTGTAATTCTTTCAAAGCTTCATCCAGCAGAAAATCTGGACTGGGACCTTGTTCAAACCAAAAAAGAGCTGAAATGCCACTGTAGGAAGGTGTTTGCTGCCTGCAGCAGCCTGCTGTTGGCTACCTTCCTGTGCTAGGGCTGGGGCTATGGCTTTTGTTGGGGTGGCTCTTAAATTTTTAGGTCAGTTGTGATGGTGAAAGCAAATCCTCAGAGCAATTTGCCGCCTCTTGGGTAAAGAAATCTCCCTCTGCTCCTGCATGGTTGTCTGTGGAAGCTGTCGTCAGTGTTACTGGGCTAGAGAGGCTCTGGCTGGGAGGGTTTATAGCCTTTGGTGTCTGAGGAGCTGCTCTCTTGTATGCTCAAAGTGTATGAGAGGGTGTTGTCAAATGCAAAGGTTTCATAGCATGAGCATCTGAGGATGGAAACGCTTACAGAGAGGCACTGAAAGCCCGGTGTGGAAGCCAGATATGGGGCCAGCAGCTGTGGTTCAGCGAGGGAGGGGAGCACAAGCATCGAAGGGATGCCAGGCACCCTCCGGCCAGGCCAGAGCTGAGGTTTTGCATGGCTTCAAACTTAACAGCCCAGGGCCATGTCCTGGCTTCTTCTGGGATAGAGTCAAGTCTCATTTAGAAGCTAGAACAGTGTATTTTGGATTTAGTGTGGGAGCAACACTGAATATACGCTGATGTTTTAGTTGTTAAGTAGTGCTTATCCTAAATTAAGGATTTTTCAGTTTCCCATGCTCTGCCAGTGAGCAGGTGCACAATAAACTGGGAAGGAGTGTGGCCAGGACAGCTGACCCAAGCTAGCCAAAGGGCTATTCCATACCATAGAATGTCATGACCAGTATATAAACTGGAGAGAGTTGGCTGGGGGGTGGATCACTGCCTGGGGACTGTCAGAGCATCAGTCAGCAGGTGGTGAGCAATTGTGTTGTGCATCACTTGGTTTTGTTCTTTTTTATTCTTCAGTTTTTTGTATCCCTTTTCATTACAATTATTATTGTGGGTTTTATTATCATTATTATAGTTACTTTAGTTATTGAACTGTTCTTATCTCAACCCATGAGTTTTACTACTTTTTTTTTTATCGTCCTCCCCATCCCACTGTGGGGGGAAGAAGTGAGGAAGTGGCTGCATGGTGCTTAGTTGCTGGCTGGCCCTAAACCATGACGGACTGTCGTGCCAAACTTGGACCACAGTGGCTGGGAGGGAGAACAGGGGACCGAGTGCACACAGTGACACGTGCTACAGAGTTCTGGGGGTTGCTGAAGCCACCGACCACCTCAGAGCAGATGAAACACATCCCCTTTCCCGAGCAAAGAAGCAGCTTCTGCAGATGCTTTCAGCTGTGAGCGATTGCGCTGAACACTGGGGGATCCAAAACTCTGCTCAGGAGACTTAAGTGACTGTAAGTGACTGCCCCTCCAAAGACGGGCATTTTGCAAAAGCCAGTAGCTTGATAGCAGTGAGAAACGTTTCAGTTACCATGAAAAGAAAAGGCATTCACAGTTCTATTCTAAACCATAAAATATATAAAATTGTTCCAAGTAGGCATTTTTGGCAAACTCAGTAATAGCAAGTTTCAACTTGAAAAAGGCAGCAAGAATTTTTTTTTAATTTTTTTTTTTTTTTTTTAATTTTTTTTTTTTTGTTACACATACTTCAGGCTCTTAAAAACTCCCTCCTTGGATATTCAGCATATTTTAAATTTTGTTTTCTGCTTTCTCCTACACGTTCCTATTTTGCCTCCTTCCCAAAGGCACCTGTAGGCAGACCAAAGTATCTCAGCTGAGATCTGAGAAAGAAACTTTGCAATTAGGAGTATAGTGTAACCGTACAACAATACACATAGAAGAGATCTGTAGACACCATTTCAAGAGAGCAACTACAAAAATTACTTTGTTCCAAAGGAAAAAAAAAAAACAACCACCCATGCTATGAGGATATTAAACATTCAAGTGCAAGCTTTGTTTTAGTATGCAGACACTCTGGCTTTAATTACCAAGGAGAAATTCCCCAGATAGACATTAAGCCACAGAACAGCTTAGCTTGAAATTCACTTTTATTTTCAGCATGTCATTATCTTGTAACTCTGTTCCACACAGAGCTGTGAAAATGTTCAGCCAGAAATCCAAACCCACTTGAAAACAAGAGAGGTTCAAGTTCCAGCCAAAGCTGAAGGTTAGCAAAGATTCAAAATAAATAGGGAGACACAAGTTTGCTCTAGTCATATATTTTTCTCCTTGCATAGCACAGAGGAGATGGAACAAATCCTCCAAGATTTGTACCCTTGGTGAGAGCACCTGCTGAAGAAAATCCTGATATTTCATTAGTCTTTCTGTCCTGTCTTCTTGACAAGCTGTTGGCTGGTTGGTGGACAGGCTGCGTGGTTTCTTCTCTGAGTCCCACCGTGATCTTTCCCTTTTGACTTGGGTGTGTTTCTGGCACCCAGCCACGCTTGACAGGTTTTGGGGAGTTCGTGTATAAAAGGGGCTGATCCCAGGAGTAGGGAGCCTTTCCACAAGGCTCTGATCTGCTCTCAGGTAGGGGAATTTGTGGCAGAGAGGGCAGGATTGGGCAGGGTTAGGCTCGTGTGGATGCCCTGGTACAGGGGAGGAGAGGAAGTCAGCAGGAGGCTGGAGGATGGGGTGAGATGGAGAAGACCTGACCTGAGAAATAACATAAAATACCTAGTAGTCACTTTAGAACCATCTTCTCAACTGCATAGTGCTATCGGATGTTCTTAGCAGTACTTTGTAGCTACAAAACAGTCAGAGTAAGGGACTCTTGCAGACTGCAGGCATTTGTGCCACGAGTTGTGCAAATGCCTCAGCAACATGGGGTCAGGATCTGCAAGCTTGGTAGCAGGTCTGAACTCCTGCTGCTGTCACCTGCTTGAAGAACTTTTCTCACTTTCCAAAATTCCCTCTCAGCAAGTTCAAGCTCCTACATTGTGTTAGTTTTAGTCAGTTTGCTTCAAAATTTACCTGCTGTTATACACTTATTTTATTGTTATTGCCAATGCACTGATTGCAGAGCCTGGGCCAGCTTGCAAAGTCTAAAGCTATGGTGGCACTGAGAGAGAATTTTTGTTACATAAAAAATGTATTCCCTCAAACTCTCGTGTGTCCCCATCTATAGCGTCAATCGGAGCCTATATGGGTGCTTGGTGTCCAGGTAGATAACATGTCAAGCCTCACAGCAAATAAAGAGCGTATCCTATCACAGTCCACAGATCAGTGAATATCTGCTGTTTCTACAAGTTGGAATTCTTAGGAAATGTTTGCAGTTGAACTTGTTGCCTCTAGGAGGCCATTTCTCATTTAGTTACCGCTAGGAAGTATAAGATACAATAATTTCTTTTGCTGGAAGCCTCCCTCAGAAGAAATTTTACTCTGGGCTATATGCTTCTGCCTACCCGGAGTCTCTTTGGGTGTTAAGATCGTTGTCAGCTCCTGGGCTTCACACTCTTCAAGAGAGCCCATTTGGGCAGCATGAAGGGAGGTCAGAGGAACTCAAAGCTCAGTGGCAGACACGGGCCTGCAGAAAACAAATTGTGGCACTGTTAAAAGAGAAGGATGTATCCTTTGGGAAAGCATCCAAGCACAGTTAATTTAATCCCATCTGCGTGAGCAGAGAAATCCTTTGTTCGTGGCTCACTTGTGTGGCTGGTTTATTGACTGGTGCCTTTTCCATCATGACAGAGGCTCGTGTCCTCCGTCCCTGCGGTGCCACCGAGAGCTCCTTCCCCAAATGCCAGGTGTGCTTGTAGAAGACAAGAATGATGTCTCCCGGGGAACACTTATTTCTCTGGATAGCAACCCAAAATGCTGTGTTCTTAATGAACGTTTTCTCTTCCTTCCATGTACACCTTTACTTTCTAAGGGGGAAGGGGAAGCAGCCCCCATGGGAGGTGGGATATCAAGACGCAGCAATGCAGTTAGTGGTATGTTAGACTTTGGCACCTCTACCATCTGTTGTGGGCTGACAGATGGGATGAAATATGACAGCAGAAAGGCTCTTCTGTTTTAGCAAGACACAAGAAAGCTTGAAAAATCACACCTCCTCCCTCCTTTCCCCCCAAACCCACACAACAACAGTGTCACTTGGCCACTTGTTCTGGCTAAGACAAGGAGAAGTTTATGCCTGTGCGTGCTCCTGAGAGTCTTTCGAGGGAAAAGTGAGCAGAGTGGTTCAGAGCAGAGCTGCTCGGAGGTGCTGGATCCTGGAGGGACTGCCACCCCTTGTCCCCTCTTTTCACGTGAATGGGAATTAGGAGCAAATTCTTTACTGGGACAGAGATGCTGAGGAGTCTCAGTGCTTGGCAAGTCTTGCTGTTTATTTGTTCACTCGTGATAATTAGTGGCTGTACGGCTCGTGCAGCAGGGACATTTGGCCTTACCTGTAGCTGGTGAGAAAACTCCTCATCTGGTAGCCGAGGATTAGCCAGTTTCAGGTTCTCCCTGAGATGCTGCCGTAGATGGAAACGCTTCCTATCGGAAACCCACCCCGGCTGTCTGTAGGAGCACGGGGGGTTAGAGCCAGCTCTCAGGAGGGCCCAGCTCCTTTCCAAGCATCTATATTTTTTAAATGATCCCAATTCATCAGCCGGGCGCTGTGAACGGCCACATTTCCAAGGCAGCTCAGCATCCTGGGTCCTGGCCACATGCTTGTGGGAAGCTGGCCTTGAGGTCGGAGACGCAAATGGCAGCCGCAGGGCTCTGCCCTGATAGGCACATCAAGCACTTCTGAAAATTAGCTCTGGAGGTGATGTCAGCAATCACGACCTTCCGTAAAATAACAAGCTCTTGTTTTTTTCTCTCCTCTGACGCACGCTTTTAGTTTTCTGGTGATTTTTAATATTTTTTCTTCCCAATGGACACACCAGTATAATGCTTCTAACTTAATTTGTCTTTTAGGATTTCATTGTGACAGTGGTCTTCTCATTCTTGTGGCTAGTGGGCTCATCTGCTTGGGCTAAAGGACTGTCAGATGTAAAGATTGCGACTGACCCAGACGAAGTGCTGTTACTGATGTCTGCCTGCAAACAGCAGTCCAACAAATGCTTGCCTGTTCGCAGCCCTGTTATGTCAAGCCTCAACACTTCGGTTGTAAGTGACTTTGATTACTACTTTTCACCCTTATCTTGCAAACATATTTTTGTCTTTTTTACCCGTGTATTGACCTAAATTGGCTGGTGTAAACCAGTTAGCTGAAATGATTTAATTGGAAGTACGGTCTTGCTGTGGGGAAAGGCAGAGCGTGACTCACGACAGCTATTTGCCGGGGAGCAGCAGCGGGATGAGCACGCAGGGTTGGGATGGGGAGGAAGCAGTGTCTGTCCAAGTGCATTGGTTGGCCTGTCTGCTTTTAAATTGCTTGCTGCAATGCTTTTGAAAAGGGGTCTGTAGGCCCCTTTAGGAAGAAAAGGTTTTGTGCCTTATAGATTCCTTTAAAAATCCTCAAAACCAACATAAAATTAGTCTTCAGAGTGTTTAAAAAAACCCTAAAGCAAACCCTCTATGCCAGATGACCCATTAATATCTCTTCTTAATTATTTTCTTTCAGTTTTATCTTTCCACAGCTTCTTTAAACTAGATTATGTTTCCAAAGAAACAAACAAAAAAATTGTTTTGACCTAAAAACTCAACTTTGGTTTCGGAAACCAAAAGGAAAACAGATACCTTGTGAGATACAGCTAAGGGAGATGAATTTGGGAATTTGCTCCCAAGCTGAGAAAATTTTCCAGGAGATTTTGGGAGAAGGATGGACTGGGAGCAGCTTTGACTCCTCCCAGGACCGTGCAGGGTCTGTAACATTAGGCTGGGCTGTGAGACCGCGACTGCCGGGTGACAAGCTCCTCTTCTCCCCACCAGGTCTTTGGCTTCTTGAACTTTATCCTCTGGGCAGGCAACATTTGGTTTGTGTTTAAGGAGACGGGCTGGCATTCCTCGGGCCAGCGGCATCCTCCAGACACCATGGAGAAGCAGTCCAGCAGCTACAACCAAGGTGGCTACAACCAAGACAGCTACGGGCCATCCGGTGGCTACAACCAGCCAGGCTCCTATGGCCAGGTGGGTGAATATGGCCAGTCCCAGAGCTACGGCCAGAGTGGGCCAACCTCCTTCACTAATCAAATTTAGGGTTCACACAGCACAAGCTCTTGTATCCCTCCCATGTAGAGAGTTTAACAGGTCTCAAGTTTCAGTGGCGTCAGATTTTTAAGGGTTTTACATAAGTTAATACTACAACATGGTGTTTAATGTCAATTGAAGGTCTAAGCCTACCTCCTGAGGCAGATGTGAGGTGGCCGGTGGGCTGGAGTTGGCCTTTTTTTCCCTGAATAGCCAGATGCAGGGGATATGTTCATCGCAGGTGATGACCTGGAGTCAGTGTTGTAGTATGTACTGTAGAGATAACTTTATGGTAGTTTTGTATGTGTTAAGATGGTAGAAGCATTTTGTAGCCTCAAGTCTGTAGTATTTAATATGCATAATATAATTGAATTTCCCTCTGCATTTTGGTGAAAAACAGAAGTGGTTTACTATTATTTCTACAGATTAATCTGTATATCCATGCATGTAACATTGCACCTAAATTTTCCAAACTGCCTGTCTGTGACTCTTCAAAGCATTTGTTTTGGTTATACCTTTTCGTTTCAGAAGATTTTACTCTTATTTCAGTTAACCGAGTCATCCGTAACTTAGTGCATGGATAAGCAGTTTCATACTACCAAATGTCTGGACTGTGTAAATGGAACTTCTCAACTTCTGCCACTACGTTTTGTTAAATGTATGTTTAAAAGAAGTATGCATCTTTTATATATTTTGCAGAGTTGAATATATATGGCTTACCCAAGTTCTGAATGCTTTGTAACTAAAATGTTTTTCCTTGAAATGGCATTCAGTAGTATATATAGTACCTGACTAATGTTTATTCCATTTAACTCAGCTAAGTATTCATTCTATAAATCACTATTTCTATGGATGTTTTGTGAATCTTTTAACGTGAGCTGTGGAAAATAAGGACCAAGTAACTGTGTTATATGTTTACAGAGGTATTTATTTAACTAAGATAACAGAGGTGCAGATATCAGTATATAAAACCACGTGAAAATGCCCTGTTGCTTCATATAGCAAAACATGAAAGCCGCGTGTATCGTTGTGACCTTACAAAGCATAAATATTCCTTTATACCTTCTTATAATAAGAAAACCTTTCTATCCGTGTTGTTTCAAGATTGTTAGATACCCCTCTTTTCTGTCGCTGCTCTGAGCGCTAGCTTGGTGCTACTGGAGAATGTAACTGGATTGACCAAATAACCCAGGCTCAGAGGAACTCACCCTAAAACAGCCAAACTTGTAGCCTGTTCAGATTTCTCCCTGGGAAATTCAGCCCTTCCTCACTACGGCGTATGGGATGCATTGACAACAAAAACAAAAGCCCGAAGCACAATATACTAATCAAAACTGATCATCTGCATTTCTAAATCAAAGTGTATCAGTATATAATCTTATTGTATGAGCTGTAATGTTGAAAGCATCTTAGCTTAAAACAGCTTAGTCTCTTCTATGATTGTTGTAACCAATTTATGGCTACTCGGTGGATGAATCTATATTGTGATATCTATTTGACCCTAATAAAGTTATTGCATACAATGCATGTTTTCAGAGTATGTTAATATTAAAATGTCACTGCAAAATAACTAAGATAACCATTAAAGATAAATATTCTTGTGCTTGACCTTACTGGTCATATTTTTACTGTTTTCCAACACTTTTTTTGAGGATGTTTTTAATGTACTGTGGAGTTCGGCACTTCTAGGGGCATTTGTCATTAAAGGTCAGTATCACAAGTTTAAAAAAAAAAAAATTAAAACTGTGTAATTTAATACATGCCTGCCTCTTTACCTCTCTTTCCACCTGTCAGTAGGACTAGCCCAGTGCTGTGAATTGCTGAAAAGCCAAGTTTGGGCTGCGGAGAGGACAAACCAGAATATCTAAATGTCCTGGTACTCCACATGAGAGAAAAACACAATCTTCTGGGTCAATGAAAAATTTTATTTTGGCTCTCAGTTCTTTTCTTCCTTGTTTTTGGTTGTTTTGTGGGTTTTTTTAAGTTTGGAAAAAGATATAGGCAGGCCAGGAGAAAGTGAAATCTGTGTGTGACAAGGGGTGGGGATGGATGTATGCTCTTCATGCCCCCTCTCACAGAGTCCTACTTCCTTTTTTTTTTTTTTTTGTTAAATCCACTTTGTATTAGTTGATCAGGTATAACCCAGGTTGGTTCATCTAAGCCTCTCCACTAGAAATAGAGTGTCATCTATAGAGTTGACGGTAGAGTGTTTTGTGTCAGCTAGCTTTCTGTTCATGAACTTTTCCACCTGGATCAGCAGGGTCCCAATTCCAAGCTTTTCTGTTCAATGCTAAGGGTTAGAAACTTGTTTTGCCGAGGTTTATTCCTGCATTTCAAACAAGCTGAAATTCTTGTGTAGCCATGTGAGAGCAGGAACTGCAGCTTTCAAACCCTCAGGAGCTGACACCCCTGGAGAAAGGGCAGTTTCTAATACAAGATTGGGAACAGAATTAAGATGATGACTTATTTTGGGTATTATTTGCATAACTCCAAATCTAAAATATTCTCATGAAGGGCAGAGCTGGTGGAAGAGTTGACAAAAGCAGGCACACGTTTTCATGAAAGATTTGCCCTTTGCTTTACCCAGTTGGCCAGATCTTCACGGGTACGTTAGCTGCTTGCTGCCATGCAGAGCTGTTGAGCTGGTTGTTATCCTTTGGGGACTATAGTCTTCACTGTGAATTAGGAGGGATGAAAAATCTCTTCATCTGTAGCTTCTCAGAATAATATAGTATGGCGGCAGCAAAAGTGAAAACAAAAATGATGCATGCACTTGTCTGTGTTATAGAAGAAGATGTATCTGACTGTTTCCTCCGTGTTCCTCTGGATTCGAGTCGTGTCCTTTGGCAATTGTTGAGAAATTGGAAGTTTATTTGATCTGGGAGTAGCGACTGTATAGCAAAGTATTGAGCAGCAAGATGGAAAAGACAGTATTTGATGTTCCCTAGGTTTAAGACAAATACAAAGTAAACTCAAGCATCCTCTGTGAAACTGCTGCTGGCAGACTGATTGCTTTCCTACTTCATCGTTAGTGAGTATCTCTGCCAGTTAAATAACTAGGTCAGCCTGGTTCCTTGATCTTCTGTGCTGTCCCTCCTGTTTCCCCATGTGTTTCTCTTTATAGCCCATTTCTCAGCTACCCAAGTCAGAAACATATTTGCATTATCAGGTGTAGAGGAGAGCCAGGTACCTCGGCGAGTGTGATGAGGATGGTGGGAGCACAGGGTTTTCTCTCCAGGTGCCTCAGAGGCCAAGGAAGAGCCATGCTCACGTGCTTCTTTAGGGTTTCCCCATTGCTCTTGACAATGGGGGAGGGAGATGCACTTTGCAAAGCTGCAGCAACATACCCTCCGTGGGGAGGTGCTGGCGAGAGCAGGGAGCACGGCTCTGGGTACCCAGGGGCTCTGCAGCCGGCTTTGCTCCCTGTCCGGTGCAATAAGGAGACAAGGATGAGTTTAGGTGCAAATCCAGCCCACAGGGCTGTGACCTCACCTGACAGGGTATTTTTTATTGTGCAATACTTTCCTAATGACCGAGCAAATCTCCTTCACCGTGGCTGTCGAGCTGCCCGTAACAGAGCCCTGAGGATGGCCAGGACTTGGAGAAAGTTTGTGCTCCTGTCGCATTAATTCATATTGCGATTGCCTGACCTGATTAGGTTAATTATTTCCAATTTGTATATGCTCTCCATTTGAATGAGCAATTCAGGCTCTAGCCCTGAATTAATCTTGGCTGAAACTCTTGATGTACTGATGAAAAAGGCAGTTGCATGCAACATGCATTGCACCTGTCTATAGTCTGATCTTGGCAATATCTCCAGAGTTTCACAGTTAATATTACAGACAGATAAAGAACTACTGATTAAAAACTGCCATGTATTGTTTCATCCTTTTCTGAAAAAGTTGTTCTCCTATTATGTCATATCACGTCATAAGCATTTAGTCCTCTGTCTACTAGTTTTAACCAGGTTTGGGTCAAAAACTTTATATATATGTGAATGGATGGGCTACGTAGCTTATGCTCCCCCTGCCTTAACTATTCTTTTTCAGGATTTTTTTTTCTTCCCTCCTTCTACTAAACCTAAGAGCTTTTCCTCCTGGAATTTTCTAAGAGCAGCAATAATCTGTATTTTAGTATTAATAGCTGGTGCTGATTATCCCATCATTTGTCAATGCCATACATCCTTAGTATGAAGATCTTAGCATTTTGATATGAAATTTTAATAGTTCAGTGGGGAGCCCTCCCATTTGTTGCATTTAGCTACCAGTTTCTTTTCTTACATCTTTATCGTTGTGTCCTTAATAAGATTTTAGTTTTTTATGAATATAGCTGCATTTTTAGAGTCTAAATGTCCTATAATACAACATTTCTCAGAGGAAAAATTATTTGGTGATAGTATTTTCAGGCTTCCCTCTGAAAATGAATACCGTACCAAAAGTGTTGGCCTCATTCCTTATCCATTAGATTGTCACAGAAATGGGGGGAGATGGGTGCCTGCATGCAGGGGATACCTGCAGCCACTCTGCTCCCTTGACAGGCCCCAGATGAGGCACATTTTTGGCCAAAGTGCTGTACCACATCTGAAAAATACCTAGACATGAGAGGACAAATGATGTTTCCCTGCAGACAGACCAGTTCTAATAGCTTCTCTTAAATGACATTTTACCTGCTCCATCTCAGCAATGGAATTCATAAATATTTTAATCATTCATGACCCCAGAGCTAAATTCCAGGCTGAGCTGAGTTATCCCCCATGTGTGCAGTAGTAGGGTAGATGGGCTGACTCCCAGCCAGGGTCCCCCCTCACCCCAACCCACTGAGCATGCCCTGTGGGGCAGTTCTGCATCCCCCAGACCAAGTGCTGGTCACAGCTTAATTATCAGGCACCGGTCATCAAACTGTGCCCAGCCCACCTGATGCAGATAAATACTGGTGCAGATTTCACACTTGACTAAAATCAAATTGACTATAAGGAGATGTTTTCAAAAAATGGTGATGGCCAAGAGGCAAATGTTCCTGGGACACACAGAGCATCACTTAGGCCATCCCAGCACAAATTTAAACAGCAGCAATATGCACCCAAAAAAGCACAGTGATGGAGAAACAAATGAGAGGAAACACTCTCTCTGTAATTTTATTTATCCCTCTACATTCCCTACCTCTTGGAATAAATGCAGAGGGTCAGGTTTCAGGATGTTTAGCAGTATGTTAGCAAGGGTAAACCAGCTACTGGTGAGCAGGAGCCAGTTAGGCTCTGTGACCAGAGGGGTGCAGTGGCCATCAGTTACCTGACATTTAGGCGAAGTAGCCTGCTTGTTGCAGCAGCAGGGCCATCAATCCCTTGAGCTGGTTAAATTGCCATTAACCTGTGCTGGATTGTGTCTCCTCTTTGCATGCCACCGTGCAGAAGAGGAGGAGAAGGTCCTTCCCCAGCGGGGCTGAGCCCGCTTGCCCGTGGCACACCAGAGGTTGTGGCTGGTTGTTGAGAGACCAACTGCAGCGAGCGCGTTAGACCTGCTGCTTCTGTTAGCTTTTCACACAGTAAGTAATTGATTTCAAAAGGATAGAGCAAGAAGAAATAGAATGTTAGGCTGTGGCAGCCAGTCCTGCTTTGGGTTAAGATGGAGTGGGGGGCTTCTTGGTCTTGGCTCTTTGGAAAAAAACACATCTAGCATGTAAGATCAAAATGACTATATGCAAAGAAATCAAGCAGTAACTCCCTGGGTTAGCAGCATGTCTGCAGCTGCTGAAGTGTTCGCTGAAGAAATGAAACCTGAGTGGCTAATGGTGTGAAGGCACCTTTGGTTTTAGGTGTTCCCTTGTCCCTGCCCAGTGCGGGCATGCCCACACCTGCCCGCGCTGAGTGTCACAGGGTCATCTCCAGGGGAGCCACGGCTCCATCACACACAAACGTTTCACAACATAAATCTTCTTGAATCGCAGAAAGTACTTTAAAAAGGATGGGAAAACTCTGGGAAAAATACCCAAAGTGAAGCGGAGACTCTGGCTTTTTGCAGCAGCAACTATTTTAAGTGAACTGCCTGTAAAGATTTTGCAGTTTTAAGTGTTGGCTTGGGTATTTTATGCAGGCAATATTGTTAACGTGTGAAACATGCTAAAAATTGACCAATAAAAGCACCTGGATATTTCAAACATAAATAGTGTGTATCAAAATAGATACAGAGCAGATGGCCTGGCTCCCCGCACACCTTGCTGACCAGAATACTCAAGCAACACGTACAGCCAAAATCTTGCTGCCTTCAAAGCTGATCACCTGCAAAGGCAAGGGTTATCCTCATGCTACCCTTTGTCTGTTAGGCACTAACGCTCCTGCACATGCTAACCAGTGTGTATTTCCTAGAGGGATAATGTACCCCAGGCTTGCTTGAACTTGTTACTGCCCCAGCAAAGGAAATCACCTGTTCTGGAGCTCAGGCTCTCAAAAGTCGGGTAGATTAAAAAAACTGCGAGCTGAAATCTGATCTACGGTGGAAAGAGCCCAAAACACAGAGGGCTGGGTTTGCCAGCCAGCTCACAGCACTGCCTGTAGCTGATAAACGTGCAAAAGAGTCTGTTTCTCACTCTCATTTTTACCTTGGACACTAAGACCAAACGTCACCATTTTGCGGATTAACCGGGATGTAAGGCTTTTCATGCCTGGTTGTATGGTTCAACAGATGTGAAAGGGAATTATCACTTCAACATGATATCAAGACTCTTTTTTTTTTTTTTTTTTTTTTTTTTTTTTTTTTAGCTGATGGCAGATTACTAAGCCTGAATTCTTGTTTAATTTTAGTGTGTTAATTGATGGGATAATGAGCATTGATTATATGTGTTTTGGCTGCGTCATTGCAATTACAGGCTCTGTTTTATTCATGAGCCAGTCCTAAAGAACGCACTAGAGATCTAAGACAGCTTAAACCTCTCAGAAAAAGGCTCTGAATTGTTTGAGTAATGACACTCTTAGATGGAAAATTAAAGGTTCTCTTTTCCCATGCTTTTTAAGATAATTAAAATCCAGGAACAGTAAGGTGGTGAACATCCTTATTCATTAGCCTTCAGTAATTTAGCTTCTACTAAATGAGGAAAACATTTTAATTCTCTAGGCCATCTGTTGCAGTCTCCTTTGCGTGTCCTGTTACATAAAGTCTCATCCTGGGTAGTTTTAACATCAGTATTGTATCCTTTCACCAGGAATGATGAGCTGCACGAGGTAGTTGAAGTCACTACCTATTAACAGACCACCCTGGAATTGAAATGGCCACTTGGTCTTTTAAACTGAAGTTATCCTGTCTAGACACCTCTAGGCAAACGATCCACAGAAAGGAGACCGTGCACAGAGATAGGCAGCATGACAAGCTGTGTGTTTTCTAATAGCGATATCCATGCCAATAAATAACAAAGTTCATCGGAGCCCTGCCAGTGCCTCTAACGTGCGACTGCGCTGCCATATGGCTCCGTGCTGCTTCTGAAGCAGGCAGTATCCGTTCGGGTGGGAACCGAAGCGGAGGCTCCGTGCTGGATGCTGCTTTGCAAGCGGTTTGGAGGAAGAACAGATCTCTTTCCACTGCACCGGGGGAATAAATATTAGAGCAGCAGCTTGCTCACCTGGGATAAATGCTGGGTCAGGATTTAGGAAACACTTGGTTTCTGACTCTGTCTATAGAACAACTCACTTTATAGCTTGGGGCAAGTTACATTAGTCCACGCTAGAAAGGTTTCCCATTAAAATGATTGTGTGTCTAGCTGAACGGATTCGGTGTCTTAGTTATTCCTGACGCAAAGTTACGTCCCTACAAATCTAAGAGGATTCAGGCTCCACTAGTTTAGTTTGTTTCTGTCAAATTTTTACGTAAAATAAAAGCCACGCTACTTGCCAACCCAGCAGAGCTGCCTCACAAGGGCTGCTTCCGACGGGTGTATTTAGCCAGCTCCGCGATCACCAGGTAGCATTTACATTATTGATAGGGCATGGCTGCGAGCAGGCTGCTCTCAGAGGGCAGAGCCTGAATTCACCTGTTCGCTATTACTCGAGTTGCTTAGAGATCACAAACACCCCAGCCTCGAGATGTGTGGCTGCAGAGCAAGTGTGCTCGGCACGAAGCAGTACTCGATCAATCAGCCAGCTTCTGCTTCCACCAAAAAAAGCCCTTTGGCTACAGGAGGCATGCCCAAGCCGTAAGTCATCACTTTGTTCTTTGCGTCTCTGGTGATCTGCCATTTGTCTTGAAATTCATTATCTGGATGAATTTGTCTCTATCGCAAGCAAACTCTTCTGCTGTGTGTTGGCTGCTCTGTAATTAGTTTGCAGCACTTTAGCAAAAGTAAGCAGGCTTTAAGTTTTAATAGAAAATAGGGAGGTGCTTCTCACAGACGTGAGTCCTGCTGGAAATAAAAGCTCTGTGTCTGCTCCAAACGGGGAGCACTGGTGAGTGGGGGTTGACAGACCCCTCTGCATCTCCCTCGGGATGGGCTCAAAACTGAGAAACCTCTGGAGCTCTTTTCATGTTCTGAAGAAATTACTTGAAGGATGTTGCAATGCCCCTTTCTTAAAATTATTTAACAAGCATTTTTAATAACAACTCCAGGCTACTTGCTTCGGTGAAGAATTAGGATCTGTGTGATGTTGTGTGCTACTTGTAAAGGTCATTTTCCTTCCCACTGAAGGAATGTTAGTCTCCCTTGGGAAGCCCTGAGTTCCTGGGGGATTAAATGAAACAAAAATGAGCAAACTTACTTGTGGAGAAACTATATATACCCACACAATTCACCAGGTGATAACTGTGCCTCTCTTCTCTCTCACTACCAGCATACCTATAGCCAAGCAGCTGGCATCAATAAAAGGTAAGGAGACCCATTTCTTGCCCCTTGGGGGTTCAGATCCTCCAAGGCTATAGCCCAAGTGCAGCAAACCCTGGTGATTTAGCAGAGCTGTGGAGGGCGTGCAGACCCTCGGCTGGTGTAAGGTGAGAGGGTCCCGTAGGTCGCTGTACAATGTGCTCCTGTGTTGATCCATGTCTTCTCTTCTGCTTGCTTTTCTGTTAAAAATCACAACCTAAAATCATCTGTGGTACCTGATGCCAACTGAGGGCTATGAGTGCACAGACTTAGGGATGTGGTTTAGGAGTGGGGGGAATGAATCCAGCCAGTAGAGAGTAATGCTGAAGTGCAATGCTGATGCTCAGACACAAGCATTTCTGTTGTGTCAGGCTCCCCAGATGGGCCCTGTTTTCCCTGATATGGGATCCTGGGAGTCCTGGCCTCATGGTGTAGCAGGTCCTTGCTGGATGCCCAGGGCAGGGATAGACCAGATGGTCCTCACACATCACCCCGTATTACTGCCACAGCTCTGATCAAAAGCTTCCTTCGGGTGTGTTTCCATGGGAGGTGAGGCACGTTGCTGGCCCACTCCAAATAAAATCTGGGCCAGGTCCTCTGTGGGTATAAACAGTTTCAGTCTCATTAACTTTAATGAAACTACACAGATTTCCACCCACTCAGGGTGGTTCTGACAGACTCCTTTCAATTATATCTCAAATGCCCCTTTTTTTCCTGATAGACTGATAACTTTTTCCCCCCCCTCAGCTCTAGGAAAAGGCTCAGAACTTGAAAAAGCTTTTGCTACAGCAGCTTTGGTGTATAACAACTCTGCTGATCCTGAGGGCAAGCTTAGCAAAGCTGAAACCAAAAGCTTGCTGCAAACCCAGTTTTGGGGTTTCATACAGGTGAGGGGGCTTGGGTGAGTGGGTGGCACTGGGCTGGCACTGGTCGGGCGCTTTGGGTGCAGGAGTGACACTTTAGGTTCTGTCCTGCAGCTGGGCAGGCATCAGTCCATGGGGTAATCCCAAGTGAGACTTCAGTGATTTGGCACAAACATCTTCAGTGAATTAGTTGCTTTATGTTGAGCCTGTGTGTAACACAGGACTGGAGGAGCAGCGACAGCAATACACCATGGCTGATGTGCCTGCTTGCACTTTTTTATAGAAAATAGGGAGGAGGGGGAACCAAATAAACAAACAAAACCCCTCAGACAATGACAAGAGACTGTATTTACGGAGAGGAGAAACCCATTGCATTTAGTGAGGCGTTTGGTAGTTTGCCACAGCACTGACCCAGTGCCAGGAGAACCAGCCCTGTGCTGCAGAGACTGGCGGGGCCACTGGGAGAAAGGGGTCAGAAAGCACCTCTCCACTGGTGCCCACCCAGGCTGTCAGTGGCAGCTGGGTATGGTGAGTATATATTGGCACTTGTGGCTATAAACCTCTTACAGGGTGGGGTTTTTTTTCCCCTCCCTAAAAAAAAACAAACCAACCAACAAAACCCCCACAAAACAGTTTTATCAAGTGGTACTAAAAGCTATGTAGGACTGGTAAACAGAGTTCAACTAAGTAAATGGGAGAGATGTTTAGGAGTAAAGACATTCTTAACGAGACCTCTGCTTCCAAGAATAACAAAATCACATGACTGGTTGGGGAGGGGGAATTTGTACCAAATTAGAAACTAGGCACCTTATGGAAAAGGACTTGAAAATATCAATAGCCAATCAAATTTGGAATCATGAGATGTTTTGAAGATTGTTAAGCTAAAAAAATATCCTGGAAGTCTTTTTTTTTTTTTTTTTCCCATAAAGATATATGAATAACAGACATGATACGTAATTTTAATAATCCTTTCCATTCCAACAGTAATGTCCAGCAGAACAGAGAATAGTAGCTACTGAAGTTATGTCTGTAAAATCAACAGTTTCTGGGACCTTCACAATATGTATGCGAAGACCTGTCTTGAATATTAAAGTTAAAAGGGTGGATTGGTTGGTTTGTTGCTCTCTCAGTTTTATCACGACACACGACTGCATTATTTCCCAGCAGTTACCAGCTACTAGTTATCATCACTGTCAGATTTTCAGTTATGATTAGGTGTCGTCTTTTAAAAGATGTGTTCTGGATTCAGGTGGAAACTTTGGGGACTGGTTGTTCTCCTGTCTGATAGTAATAATATGATTGCAATAACATTTCTGTTTGAGTTTCTTGGGATACCTTTAGAAAACCTAATATGAATGTGGATATAAAAACCTGAATGGGAAGATAGAAATATACGTGAATTTTTAGATGTTTCTTTAAGATGTTTTAGATGTTTCTTAAAGAAACAGATGTTTCTTTATATTTTTTTATATGATGCAATAAAAAAGGAATTTCATGCTTAATCTTTTTCTTCTTTTTTTTTTTTTTTCCATTTAAAATTCTCCATAGGGCCAAGAAAACAAACCAAAATACCAGGAAATAATTTCTGCCCTGGATGAGGAGTCAGAGAACAAAATTGATTTTGAAGATTTCATGATCTTGTTAGTCAGTCTCACTCTAATGTCTGACCTGCTGCAGGAGATCAAAAATATGAAAACCACAAAATGATCAGTGCTTTTAAAGAAGAAATGGCTCGGCACTTTCTAAGGGAAGCAGGAGTGAACCACACACAGAGATAACACCAAGTGCCTGGATACCCTGTGCTTGTCCTTTTTAAATGGAATAAATACTTCTACAAACCTGGCTGAACTCACTCCTCTGTAGAAACTGTATGTAGAGTGAAATATTGATGCTCAGGGCTTCGTGTCCACTACATACATGCTTTGGGAGGGTGTGCTGGTGCGTCCCCAGGCCCCAACACCAGTTAGTGGATGGGTGCAGCCCCCAGCCCAGCTTAATGCCCAGGAAAGGCAGCCCAGGCTCTCACAGATTTCTCCATCATCTCCCTCACCACTGCAGGGGTGCGATGGGGAGACCACCGCAAAAATGTGCGGCCCCATCTCTTCAGGGCAGCAGCATGCATGGCAGGGCTGGTCAGCTCCCCAGGGCTCTCCCAGTTACCCCAGCGTGCTTCAGCCCCGAGCAGTGACACCAGTGATGGATTTCACCATTGGCAGCGACCGCAAAATCTGTTGCAGCCTTCAGTAAACGTTGACTTTAGTCTGTGTGGTTTCCCACCCACAATTAATCCTTCTGAAAGGAGCATATATTTATTTGTATTTCCTCCTCCAGCTGATCTCTTAATGGAGTGATCACGATGGGAAGAAATTTCAAGTCCAGCATTTGCAATGCGCCTTTGGCCGTGCTGTTCTCGCGTGTGACCAAAGGGATGACTTAGGTAAATATGACAACCAGGTGACTGTTGTTTCATGAAACTGTGAAAAGGAGAAACCAGATAAGCTAAGAGGAGGCACAAACTATTGATGGTGGGGAAAGATTGTGGCCACTAAAGTGTTTGTATTGGAGCTGAGTGCTATTGGCTACCCAGCCACGGGCTTGGTTAGAGCCAGAGCCTCAGTATTAAATGCTCATCATCCTAATCTTTGTTTCAATTCCTACCTATAAGTCCAGACTCAGAGCCAAAATTTAGCCCACTGTGACATCTCTTTGGGTCCCAAAAAGCAGCCACGCACCCCAGGAGCAGAATATCCTCTGTGAGAATTTAACAAGCATCTACCAAGACAGTTAAGATGAGCGAGCCGGCCAAACTTTGCAACACTTTTTGTTTTCTCATCTTCCTTTTCTGGAATGGAATTATTTAGCTTTGGTACATCATTCTTTTTAAACAGAAAGGGATCAAAACCTTTAGTGTTAAAAGAGGGAAATTAATGCCAGCTGAGTAACAAGACTTAACTCCTTGACATAAAAAGGCTCTTAGTGTTTCCAGAAGCTAAGAGGATGTTCTGTAACAGATTTAGGTGCAAACGAAAGACACATGGCCAGCAGACAGTTGTTTTGAGAGGGAAGGTCTGTGTCTCCGTGAGGTACGGGATGGAGCGGAAAGAAGAAACGCAAATGGATGAGGGGGGTTTTGAAAGGAAGCTCAGCAGGTAAGGTGCTGCTCCTTGGGGTTTGAAACTCAGCAAGGACATGGCCTGGCCTGGAAGCTAAACATTCACAAATGGTCTTCCTACAAGTTAAAACTCATGTTAGCCAAGTCCCTTGCTCTGATGGTGGATTGCAAGAATAGACAGTATCGAATGAGATGTCCCTCCCGTACACCTCCCCCTGAGGAACTGGTGGCCCCATGCTGCGAGGATGACTGCCTCCATGGGGTGCACGTCGAATCTCCCAGACGTGGGGTATGGGAGTACAGAGATGAGGAGGGCAATATTCTCTTGGAGACCATCCCTTCTGGGCTTGTGTCTTCCGAGGAAGCGGACTTTGACCAAGCACCCTGGATCAAAACTAGGACTTAATCTGGTAGCCTCGTCCATGTGGGTGTCACAGCTTCATATTGACAATGCATTCCTCGCGTTGCTCAGTCTCTTCCCCCAACCCCTTGTTTTTTGGCAAGGTAGAACATCTGTGAAAGTTTAAAAAATCAGCTGATGCTCCTTTTCTGAGGTAGAAAGATGGGTTGAATGTGAGAGTCCTTAGAAGTGTTTTCCATCACCAAAGTAAAGAAAACATGGCACAGCCCTGAAAAGCATAAATTTCCTAATATCCCTCTCTAACAACAAGCTGAAAGGAATGTTTCTGGGAAGCCAATTAAAGAGTTATTTGAAATTGCTAAGGGCCTAACACAGTTTCTGTTACTGCTGATATGTTTCTTAATCTTGTATGACTTGAATTAATGATTTAAGAGCCTTTTATCAGGTCAACTCACTCTGTCATCTCATTGTATGCAAACCCTTTTTATTCTAACATGTTGTGAGCTAACACCCCAGTCCCTGGCTTCAATCAGAAGCCCCTTGTGCTAAGCAAAAGTGAAAGTCCAAAGTAAGAAGCAATTCCTGAGCAGCAAAAATATTCAAATGGTAGGGAAGGAATCAGAGGCACAGGAAAACCAAGTGCCTTGCTCAGTGCATGTAGCAGAGCTGGAACTGGATGCCAGTCTGCACTGGGCTTCTTGCACAGAAGAGCATGGCTTTCCAAGAGGCACTGTGATGCTTTCTGCAGGAATTTCTGAACAAAGCGAATGGGATATGAAAGTCCTGATCTGTATCAGTCCTTGAAAGTCCCACCTGATGCTCAAAAGCAGAAGGACGCACTTGGAAGAGCCCTAGCATCACTCTTACAGTTGGGAGTAGGCAGAAGTTTGCAGCTCGGCTGTGGAAGATGCTCTTTTATTAGCTCAAACTATTTGTGGCTGCCCTGAGCACTCTCAGCTAATGGCTTTGAAGCTGATCTGGTGTAGACAGCATGTCTGGCTGTGTCCTTGGGGAGCTGGCTAAAAGCTTGCTTAAGAGAACTACTGTTGTGCTTTATTTTGTTCCTAGTTCGTTCCTGTTGGAAGCAATGGGAGTTCATCATCGATTTCTCATCACAGAGCCCACACAAGTGTTAAGGAGTTGAGCAGGCAGCTAAATTGATCAAATCTGCAGGTTCCTCTGCCTCAGCAAGTGTGAACATCATATCAATATCTGATAGCCTCTGGAAGTGAAGGCAGCAGGAAGACCAGCTAGTCAAAACCTGACCTCTGTGGGCTTGGGGTTAGGTTGGGATTTGTGCAGCTACATTGTCCAGGGGTGAGTAGCCACCCTGGGTGGCTCTGCAGACTCTGGATCTAAGTTTAAAGTTCTGTTCTGAAAAGCCTGAGTCATCTCAGCAGTTACATGAGCTTTCAAATGACTGACAGAGGAAAAATGGGTGGCAGGGAGAGCTTCAGCCTCAGATCTTCAGCTTCCATTTCCAAATATCAGCCACGGAAGGCAGTTTCATTCTCATACTTTAATTAGCACACCCATAGCTTCTCTCCATGACTTCTTGCTTCATATCTGGCCTTAACTCTATGGCCTGCTGGACTTGGAAGATTTTGAAAATCTGCCTTTAGTCTAATCTCTAAGGTTCTCTCCCAGATCACAGGGGAGCTCTTGAATCCAGTCCACTGACTGTCAGTGGGTGAGTCACAGCAGAATTTTGCATGTTGAGCTTTTTGCCGAGAGCCTAGGGCCACAGGGGCTGTGAGTGCAATTTTGCATAAATCTTTCAGGAAAGAGAAACACGCTGCCCAGCTGTCTCGCTCTTACTGCACCTTCAGTAAAGACCTCCAGTCTGGGGCACGGAAGATGCTGAGGAAACCTTGCGGTCTAAGAGACATTTCGCCTGTCTCCTCCTCCCTCAAGTGTTTTGTTACTTTTTCGCATAAAATAGAACTTGCCTTGGTTGCACACACTTTGCAAGTATGTGTGCGCCCCCCCTCACCTCGGTACTTCCACGTGTCATAGCCCAGGAAAGTTTCTCAGCACCTGCGTCCACTCATGTGGTTATTGCAGCAGGTCACTCTGCAGAGAGAGGTAGAGGTTTGCATCATAACCCACCAAGGTAGCAGTTAAACTGTGGCTACAGGGTAGGAAAACCTTCTTCGGGAGCGTTGGAATGATACAGAAAGATGCTATCCCCTCAGGAGTTCCCTACAGAGCAGATGAAAAGCTTTGTCCCAGAGTTACGCTCTCTCCAAAGTGTGATAGTCTGTGAGCCACAGCGAAGCACTCTGAAACACCTCCTGGAAAAAAAGAAAATCTCGTTGTTTCAGGCTCAGGCAGGGAAGCTGGATAAAGACGGGGTGGTGTTTTTATAGCTTTCTGAACTGACAGCTTTTAATTCCTGCATTGGCTTTTACTGTAGCCAGTGGTTTACAAGGTTTTCAGTGAAGCTGTGTCTGCTCTCCTCACTTTGTTCATCGGCTGTTCCCTCACCCTGCTAGTGTTCATAGCCCTCGTTCTGAGTCCTCCTCCAGCAAAGGTAAATACCAAGTGATGTTCAGCAGCCAGATATATCTTGCTGTCTCTCTAGTCCCCAAGTGCACAAAACAGCCATTAGACTTGGATTCAGAGCCATGGGACTTATCTTTTTATTCATTGCTATAGTAGGAGTGAGTTTATGCTATGCATCGCCACAACGAGAGTCAGTCCCAGCATCCAGCACATACAGAGGAGCTGAAACCATAATCCCCCAAACTGAACATAAAGAAATTCATGGGATTGGCCCAAGTCCAGCCCGGTGTGTCCACAGCAGAGGCTGGTTGTGCATATCTGGTGTAGTGCCTCGATCATCCTTCCTCCTATTCAAAGGTCCCAAAAAGGCCAACCTGGAAAGGATCTCCTGTGCAGAGAATCATAGGTGGTTCTTGTTCCTCTGGACCAGAATGAAAATTGGGTTTTACAGCGAATGAGTGTGTAGTGGCTTGCCAAAGTGCCGGTAAGTCTCAAACAGGACCCGGAGTGCCGAAAGCCTCTGGGCAGCCCAGGACAGCCACTGCAGCCCGAGCTGTCCCCCAGGTGACTCCTTGTAGGCATGGGTGGCACCTTCACACTTCTGACGCCCACAGTGCAACCCCTGGAGCCAAAGGACCAATTTCTATTTGTGATTTCCTCTTTGTTGTTTTATTCCCTTTGCCGTGATCCAGCTTTCTCAGTTACTATCTGCTGGACCTTGGTGTCTAGAGAAACACAAACCACAGCACATGTTCTTGTGAAGCTGCTGCTGAAATTATTCAGAGGGAAGCAGCTCCTCAAGTGGGCGTGTTTCTAACCCTCCAGTAAAACCGGCAGCCCAAA